CGACACGTGCAATTTAGCATAAAACGAGAGGCTGCTTTGTGCAAAACAATGGCTTTGAAAATTACCCATTCTTGTCTTGATTAGGTCAGTGACAATCCTTTTAAAGACTGATGGCTAACTAGCAACTGCAGAGAGTCAAAGAAAGTAATTGAACTGTCAAGCAACGTTGCTTGAAAGTTCAACTAATTTAAGAGATCTAAAAAGGGTCTAAAAGTTTGTGTTACCCCCCTTCAGCTCTGAGTACATTGAATTTTAACGTTTGTTTTAATTTAACATTTATTCATAGAACATCTCTCAATTGTTTTGATAAATTTTCAAAAACTTTTATTCAAGTCTTATACCTCACTCATATGAGGCATGGCACAAGCCAATGACATTCCCCCGATGGGCAAAAATTGCTCTAGAGTCAGGATTGCAGTAAAACATGACTTTTAGAAAAGATACAGCTCTTAAAATTCAGAAGATATCAGTTTAGCACGCAGTCATAGCACATGTCATTGCATTTGTATATGACTGTAGTCCCAGGCAAAGAAGTTAATGTATGTACATAGGTGAAAAGGGGCATGCAGCATAGCACACATACCCTAAATCTTACATGACAGAGCCAATCAAATTTAAATTATGAGTTTTACTACTGGTACCGGTAAACAAAGTTATACATAACCAGCTAGTCTGAGTAAAGGTTAGTCTGAATAACCTTCTGAATGATTATGGACTTTCTTGTAAACAAAGGTCACAGATGTGATATACATTATACCGCACTTGTCATGTTTCCAGTAAACAATACATGGAGCAATTTGTGATACAAATAAGCTGCATACCAATGTTCATGTTATATCAGGAGAAGCGATAGCTCAGTGTTAGAGCAATGGTCTCATAACTAGGAGTTCCTGGTTTTGAAACCAAGTCGATGCGCTAGTGCCCTTTAGTAAGGCATAATCCTCATTACCAAGTCCCTCTGAGAGGACTTAAAGCCTTTGGTCCCCTGGTTGCTAATACGAGCATACACTTGCTTTCTTAGCAGTCAAGTAAAAACAAACCATCAAAACTAAAACCAAATCATCCTCTCATTTTTTATTCTTTTGGTTTGTGAACTCAGTGTAGATTAGGAAGCAGAATTTCAGATGTTTCATTGCAATATACAATGTATATTGATTCCAATAGAATGAAAATTTGCCCCAGGATTTTTTTTAGGGGAGGGGGACATTATTACCTGCTCATCACATGAACATGTTCAAGTATATTTGATCTTCATGTTCCTCACAAAGTAGTAGTAGGGATGTGCAAATGTAATTCCCCTTCATGATAAAACATTCACATCCATTAGGATTGCTGTACATGCAGGCTTGAATGTATTTGTACACAGTGTGGGCTCGTCAGTCCGATGTAATATGTCATCACCTCATAACTTGCTTGCATGCTTGGGTTTGTTTAGAAGCTTAGCTGGAGGCCATGTTTGTCATCAGATTTAGTGTAGTGCATCTGTAAACATGTTCAGAGCTAAATATTGCCATGCTCTTGTTTGGTCATGGGTACTTGGTCTTACCAGTAGCCCCATCTGCTGTGAACTTGGAGAAAACAATCTTTGGGAAAACAATCTTTGGGAAGTTAGCTGTTGATAGGCTAGTTGTCTAGAATAGACATGAATTACACAGGCCTGATAAAAACCCGATTTAAATCGGTTTCCCGATTTTTTTTATTTTCCCCGATTTTTTCCCGATTTTTTTTCTTCCAGATTTAAAAAAAAAAAAAAAAAAAAAAAAATCCAGATTTTTTTTTTTTTTTTTTTTTACCATTTTTTTTTACCATTTTTTTTTTCTTCCCTATTTTATCCTGATTTGCCCGATTTCCCTCCTATTTTCTCTATTCTTCCCTATTTTGCCCTATTTTTTCCCAGTTTCGTCCCAATTTTCTTACTCGAAAAGGGAGAATGTTGTTAGATGCCATTTTTCCCTCGCGAATCCTCTTCTTTTTTTTTTTTACTCAAGGGGGGCGTGGCTGAGGGGAAAACAAAAAACCTATTTTTTTTTTAGTGCTCACTATCACCCCTGATTACATGGATAGAAGTGAATTTCACACAAAAAATGTATTACAATTAATGCCGATTCTTAGACAAATATACTTTAGTAGGTGTTTTCTCTACTTTGAAAAAGGTCCATTCATTGTCATTTGGTAAAGTTCTTGGCATAGAACTAGGAAACTGACTACTACTTGCAAACAAATAGTTTACCATCTTCTCTAGACTAATAATAATGCTATTTTCATGATCAGGAATAATAGTTTACTATCAACTCTTCATTACATAGTACATTGAATACATTATTTTAGGTTAATACCTATTTCATGCGACAGATTGACCGTCAAAAGCAATACTAGGTTACCATCTACTGTAGATCGATCATTTGGCAGTCTAAAACAGTGATACTGTGATCTATACTGAACATTGCTATCTGTTCAATATTGATTTCTTGACCAAATGAAGTGTTTGCAACTTACTGTTTACAACAAAAAAATGATTACAGTATTCTATACTCATCTCTTGATACACATAGCAGCATTACTGTTTTAATATCTACTTTAGATACTTATATAAGAAATCTCCTTTTATATATATATATATATATATATATATATATATATATATATATATATATATATATACAGATGGGCATATACATGTATAGATATTCTTGAAAGCAATTGCAGGGTTCCAGAAAACAGAAACGGTGAAAAACAAATATTCACTTTGGCTTGCAAAATGTGCAGAAAGGTTCTTTTGCACAAGGACAAGAACGCCTCAAGAAAAACGTTAGTGAAGAGCCCTGGATATGAGTGCAGAGGTGATAGAAAGAGAGAGGGAGAGAGAGGGAGGGAGGGAGAGAAAAGGGAGGAAGGGGAGGGATAAGGGAGGAGAGAGAGAGAGAGATAAAGACAAGGAGGAAAGAGAGGGAGAGAGGAGGGAGAGGGGGAAAGAGAGAGAAAGAGATAGAGAAGGAGGGAGAGGGGAGGGAGAGCGAGAGGGGAGGGAGAGGGGGGAGTCAAAAAGTGAAAAGAAAGAGAGATAGGTTAATTTCATAGATAGATAGATGGATAGATAGATAGATAGATAGAAGAAGCACTCTAAGACTGCCACATGCTGATTGCAATTAAAAGACAAGGGCTTCAGTTGGCAAACTGGTCCATGATATATTACATAACCTATTGAGAATCTCAAGAGAACTATACCATACAAGATGATTGTTCTAGTGATTCAGGAAGCCATATAGTGAATGGTAGCTTAGGTCTAAAGAGGTGAGATTGGAAAAGGAAAGATAGGAGGAGGATTTGGAAATAAAGAAGATTAAGAAGATAAAGAGGTAAACAGGAATAGCATAATAGAGGGAAGGAAAGAGATAGAAAGACTATTTTAACATGGTAAATACCGGAAATGAAATGGGGAAATATATGGGTCTGGAACAATGAGTCTATGCACACGTCTCTAACATTTTCTTTGAGATAGGAAGCCATGTCTTTACATCAACCCTGCCCTTTCAACTTAAAATGCTTCTATATTTCCAGTGGAATATGTATTTTATTCAAAGCACACTCATGGCATCATTAAATCTGAATTTCAATTGCCTTCCCCATAATGTATGGCTTCTAACGATGAGAACAGGAAATTGAACACAAACCAAAATTGTTACAGAATTATTCATGTCACTTGAAACTTCCCGAGGACAACATCCCCTCCTGTTCCAATAAACTACCTCACACTGACTATACGCCTTCTGTTTTTAATCTTCAAAAAAAAAAGAATAATAGGCGCAATGGGTGTGTTAGCATGCATAATTCAACGTGTCAGGCACCGCATCTCCATACAATAGATAAAGTGGAGCACCCTAGCATGTCGTTCTGAACGAAAAGGAAAGTAATTTGCATGATGATTTGTCGGTAGTGCAATTAATTTGTGGAGGTTCTTTTAATCGTCATGGTTACTCTGTGCTATGATGGTAGGCCCATTTGTTAATATGATTGTTGACTGATGCAAGGTAGTGTCTGTGTAGCTGACATGTCAAAACAGCTTGCAATTCTGCCTGATTCCCCGCCGTGGATATAGTGGACATTTAGTCCATTTTTCTCTGTGGTTCTGTTTCTCTGAAAGAGGTAGGATAGTAATTATTTACATTTTGATTAAAATGAGGCAGCAATACATGGCCTTAGTTAATAATGAGAGTAATGGAAATGCTTTCATTTTGTATAGTACTTGTTGAGTTTGCATCTGTGTGCCTCCAAATGTGGCAGTATGTGTGTTATCCATCATTATGCTTGGCAACCATTTTATTGTCATACTTGTACACAGACTGTGTTGGTATTCAACAGGTTGTGATAGCTTTTCAGTGGACAACTCTTTGAGATATTTGATATGCTTCATCATTCATTTAATTGACAACAAGCTGCCATGTTTATATGATACTTAACAATCAAAGTGTTTGTCTGTTTTTCATGAACATTGTTTTGTATTTTGATCTACCATTTGGAACATTCTAAGGTAGTGTCCTGAGGACGTGTTGGCTCATAATGTAGTACATACATATGCATGGAGCTATCATGTTTCTGCATCATCCAAGCACACTGGCTTACACTTTCATATGAAACGAAATACTCAATGTTTCATATCAATTTTCCTTGAAGACGTTTTATATGTAGGCAATGACGGAAGCTGCCCTCATCTTGCTAAGAAATGTGTTCATTTATTTACAGAAAGTATCAAATTCATATCCTTGTTTGTGAAACCAGCTTTAAAGAGATGCATTTGAAAGATACATGGACATAGGTGTGACCAATATACTACAATGATTTATCGTGTATTGTATTGTATTGTTTGTATTTATTAAACTTCATTGATGAACATCAATATTCTGTTTGTATTGATATGGATTTGTTGAAATGTAATTGGACTGGCATACAAATGTTCACTGATGAATCTCTTTTTCTTCTGTCTCTCTTTCCCTACTCTGCAGGATGAAAGCATTCTTCTGATTCCTGCATTTCCAGGAAAACACTTCAGCTCAGATTCCTAGAGTTTCAGCAATCAGCCGATGAAGACGTGAGAAGACGACCCCAGCCTGCAGGAGGTTTATTCTTCATGTGCTTGTAAACAAAGGATGAACAAACTCTGCCCATAGGTATCTTCTTGCAGAGGATATTTCTCAGATGAAAACCTTAGATGTGTAGCCTTGTACCCTAAGGAGGGGTTGTCATTATTGAATCTTCAGCCAGAAGGAAGCCACAAGACTAAGGAATACAAGTGGATGTTTTTTTTTTTTTTACTGCCCTGGTAAAGTAGAGCGGATGAATAAACATTGAGAGATAAAAAGGAGCTGGGAATTGTTTATCGTCCATGGATTCATGTTCATACATGTGTTATGTGCAATGATGTAAGGGAAACAACACAGTCATCAATCTTTGGAGAAGGGAGAAACGCCCTATTGTATTGAATTGATACATGTATGTTATGCTACTGTGAGAGATACATTTGAGGGAGAGGAACAGAAACCTCATTGCTTGTCCATACATGTAGTTATTTGAATGTTCCTCTGTCTTTAAGCTCTTAGAATCGAAAAAGAAGTTGAAGGAATGACTGGAACCTTCTCCTGCCTCGATGTCCACGATGTGAATCAGTAAGCAACGTGACAGGAAAGCTACATGTACTTCAGTGGAAAAGGAAAGATAAACATGCAGCATTTAGGAGTAGAGTAGACTTGGTGCTAAGAAAGCTAGCGTCTTTTACCCTAAACGTGGAAGCGAGAACTACTGAAGTGTCGATGTGGAGAGGAGCCATTGCCAGGAATATCTAAGTTTACTTGCAACTCTACATCATTTAAGAGAACTCTACTAACATTGGTCACTGAAATATTCATGAAAGGCCGGTTTACATGCAAGCCGTGGTGAGCGCATATCCGGCCGAGAGTCGGAGCAAGACTTGACCATTGATTCATTGATGAGGGCGACGCTGACCACTTGACCACCGCATCAGCACCGTGCGGACACTCGTCGGTTGCTACAGGGTTTTGACCATTCATGAGGATATTAGCTGACTAGGATCGCTACCTAGACTGACCCCAATGACGCTGACCAAAGCCAAAGAAATGGACAGCATTTTCACCGGTCGTCTGACCAACATACCGCCGCTCACGTCCAAGGTGGTCAAGATCATACTCAGCTGCTGTAAATCAGGTCAGTAATGACAGGGGCGTATCCAGAATTGTACTAAGGGGAGGGGCACAATTCCAAAGAAAAATTATGACAAGGAGAAGGTTCAGGTTTTTATCAAAGGGAGGGGTGCAATTTCTCTTTAAAGGGATCTGGTAACTTTGTCTCAGATTCTGAAACAAAATCCTGGATTTAGCTCATGCTGCAATGAAACCAAATTTTGTGTTTTTCCTAACGGTTTTCATAACACTACAGTCTATAGGGGAAAACTTAAAAACCGGTTACTCAAATTGTTTTACTTTTTTGAGGCACTTCTTGATCATTTTGAAGTGCAATTTTTGTAGGGCTTCAATATTACACCATATCACATACACTGATAACCCGTAGGGCCGTGCATCTCAGATTTAATATTGTTAAATGATGCCTTTAATCATCTGAAAAGGGGAAGAAAGGGGTTATAAGCTTTTTCATTTGCCTTTTGTTATTATTTTGTATTTCAGGTTTTAAAAGTTGGGTATGTGCCAGTCATGACCCCCCCCCCCCCCCCACACACACTTTTTTTTTTAACACATACATATCTCTTCTGCCACCGAGTGGTAATGTCTCGATTCTTAGAGATGCAATGTTGTTTTGAGTAGCAATAATATAATATATCATGAAAATAATCATTCTTCCAGATTTTAGGTTTAGGTCTACATTTTTATACATGAACCTGTACATGTATGTGTCATTGAATCCAGCTTGAAAATGTATTCCTTAGAAAGACACCTTACGATTCTAACTGGAGTTTCTTGTTCATGAAAAAATAAAACTGTTCTTAGTCTGTAGGTCCAGTAAAATGTGAAAATTCATTCACCCCACAACATGAAAAGAATTGAGAATACATCTCCTTCAAGATAATTCTATAGAAAAAAGAGTAATATATAGTTTATGGGGAGTTGTATATTGAATATGTGAATCATTATTATGCCTACATGTATCTTTGCCCAAACAAATATTCTTTTATGTGGGTTTTTTTGGTGTGTACATGTATGTCATTCGCATACTTGATCAAATGAAAATGCAAGCAAAATACTCTCATTTCATGAGGTCAGATCCTGCCAAATTCATCATTCTATTTGTAGGATGATGACTCATCATAAATCTGATTCTCTTATGAATCAGATTTCACTGCCTCAGTCATCTGCAATTTATCAGGCCTGTCCCTGTTTTCCTCTCTTTCTCCCTCTCTCTCCCTCTCTCTCTCTCTCTCTCTCTCTCTCTCTCTCTCTCTCCTTCCCCTCCTCTCTCTCTCTGTCTTGCCCTGAATCAGCTAAATTCTGCATCTCCCTGAGATCAGGGAAAAAACCCACAGGATTTCAGGATTCTATATCAAGACGTACGTAAGAGAGAATAGGTCGTTGATTGAACATTCACGTTTCAGCTCTCGTGTATTCGCTAAGATGTCAGCCTGCAGCCATTCACCGACTTCTTCCCACTCTATCTCTGCCAAGGATTCAAGCTTCGCGTTCCCAATACAAACATGTCATTTGCAGCTCGGAGAGCTTACAAGGCAGAGGGAAAGAGAGATCGGCATGGGTTCAAGAGACCCTTTTTATACCGTCAAGGGGCCCCTCTCGATAACCACTAAATACAAAATCCTTTTTATTGGGCAAATTGCGGAGATGTTACGGCTGATTGACAGACACATCAAGACGGTGAAAAACAGGAGCATAGTTTGATTTTCTTATTCAGCACAAATGATAGCACGCAGTCGCTCTTCTCCCACCCTCTCTCTCTCTCTCCCCCCTTTTCTCTGATAAAATTTAGCTCTCTCTGTCTCTCTGTCATACTCTCTCTGTCTCTCTATCTATCTTCTCTCCCCTTCATCTCTTTTTGTCTTTCTCCCTTTTTGTCTCTTATCTCTCCTCTTTTTTCTTCTCTCTTTATCTCTCCCAAAATCTTACTGTCTAATTTTCTCTCTCCCCCTACCCTCTGCTCTCTCTCTCTCTCTCTCTCTCTCCGACACACATTGGCAATTCAGAAGTGGCATTGAGAAGAATCAGCGTAGATGGCAAGATATGTTTTCGCCATGATCACCTGCCTTAAGCCGGTTGTCGTGTCTGATCTTGAATTCACAGAGCTTGATTGTGCAAAAGATTATGAAGCGGTCTTTGTGTATTGTTACTTTTGAAGGTCTTCATTTTGGTTCCAGTCTTTGAATTCGATTCAATACCTTTCAATTTCAATTTATCTTCAATATCACTCGTAAGAACACAATAAACAAACAAATAAATGAGTAATGAAATAAATATTCAGCCTTCATTATACTTTCAAGGAAATGTTATGAGAAAATAACATAAATGGAATCATTATATTTTCTTTTGCTGGGTTGGGTTACACACTGTTGGCAAATCGACCATGACATGGCGCTGTACAATCAATCAGTACACTGGCCGGGGCAGAAAGTTATCACTTCAGTATTGCTTAAAGTCAGTATGTGTAATCCACAGGGTACTTGTAATACATATCTGCTCCACTAAAAACTCTTCAAATATCAATCCTGATCCGTAAAATACCCTGATTATGTTTTTTAAATCCATGGTATCCTCTGATTAGCTTTTGATGCATTTTTCCATTTTTTTTTTCTTGGATTTGGCACACCACTAAACACCTTGAAATGATCTTGTCTCATTTGCAATTACTCTGAAATGGATTAATGCTATTCTAACAGGAAATGTGTTATTAAGTTGTGATTGTAAAGTGAAAACCATAACAAACGTAATTAAAAATTAGTCTGCATATCATCATCCTAATGGAAAAGAGCAGATGCACATGTATCCAATTGATTTTTAAAAATCTTGCAGAGATTAGCAATTACAATTTTTCAATAACGTGTATGGAAGGCATACATGTACATGGGATCAGAAAGTCATTTAAGAAAACTGAATAATTTGCATTTTAAAATGAAATCACATGTAGATGAGTTACCAATAATTATTTTGAATATCATGAACCTCTTTCAGTTAGATTCTCAGGGCAGTTCTCAATGGTTCATTTTTCTGTACCATTATTATTATTATTATTATATTTCTTTTGAAGTTTTATTCTATAAAAAAAAGACACTCTGCTGTTTTTTCCTCATTGTCTTGCCTTCTATATGTGTTTTGTTTTAGTCATTCAATGATTATACAACTTCAATGATTATACAACTTCAATGTTATCATTTCTAGGAGCCAGACATCATACTGTATGTATTCCCAAGCATAACTCTTTTCCTATTGCTTATTCATTTACAGATACCATACAAGAGAGGTTTGTTCTGTTACGAGATGCTGTCCCAGAGTTGCAGAGGTTTTGTCAGCAATATGGCCTGGATTTCCAGGTATGATCAAGAATCACTTTTCCGAGAATCATTTATGAAATGTCAAAGCTGCATTATCATAAGAATTATGGATGAGTATCCATTTTTCTCCTAGATTGGTGCTGTAGCAGTTCCTGTAAAACAATAGACAAATCTGTAAATTCTCTTGATGAGCTCTACTGTTTGCTTATGAGTACCAGTAGCTTTGCAAAACAGATATTTTATCTACATATTAAAGTATGCATGAGTTCTATGTTCAGTTATTCAGTCTTTAATTAGTTTATTAATTATACAGTAGGCTTACGGTTGCACCATGTGAAAGGGGGAGGATTGGGGAGTCCTGAAAAGGGCTGTTGGTAATCTTTCTTAATTAATTATTTGACTAATCATCAATTGTCCGTTTGCCCTTCTGAAGTGATATAATTAGTCCTCCTACCCTTTCATCTTATTATTCCTTCCTTCTTTCCTTTCTTCCTTCATTCATTCATCCATACCTTCATCTGTCTGTTATCATTTCTAGCTGGTGGATATGCATCAGGGACCCTCCAACACATCAACCAATGACCATGAGATGGCTGGTCTTAGGATCCAAGAAATCATCAACTCACATCAGCTGTCTCTAGGACCATTCTTTGTGGTGAGTTGAATGCAAGATTAACCAATCAGGATTCAGCTTTTGAATACTTGTTGTAGAAATCTGGTTCCTGATTGGTCAGTGCTATTGAGACAAAATTTATTGCATTTTTTGTTACAATAAGAAGAAGATTTTAAGGTGACTAAAAGTTTCAAGATATCATCAATTCCCATCAGCTGTCTGTAGGAATATTCTTTGTAGTGAGTTGAATGCAAGACTAGCCAATCACCATTCAGCTTTTGATGACATACTGTTTAAATCTTGCTCCTGATTGGTCAGTGGTTTGCAAATGCATGTTTGATAAGTTTGAATTTATATCTGCTCAGTGCTCTGAACATTGCATTTAAATGCAGGCTTCATAAGGTGCGGTAACTGGAATACTTATGTAATATCTTATGCAGCAGTTGATTTTGAAGTACATTGTACATGTATGTAAAATGCAAGACAATGTTTTATCTACATGTAAACCATATCACAATTACATTTACAAAATGAAAAGTCAATAACAAGTGTTTGATTATATTGCCAGCAATCTGCATGTATCCTAATATATACATTTCTGTAAAATGCCTTTGGTGTTTTACATTGCCTAACCTGTTACTGTCAAATGAAAACAAATCAATTTTCCTGAGTCATTTGTCCATGTGGCACTTACGTCAATGTTATTGCAAACTAAATTGCAAATCCTTCCATACGAGAATTGTGATCAAGGCAATTCTGCTTAATCAGCTACAAATCTAGCACAGCGAACCAGATTTAGCATTCAATTTCTAGAAATGACCACCACGATGCCCTTTAATCAGCTCCTGGAGGTAAACAATTATTTCAAATTAATAGGATTCCGTTGGCAGATGTCACAATATCCCTTCTACCCACTCAAATCGCTACCAGGCATTTAACCGAAAAAAGGGAAATTGATCGAAACCCCATCATCCAGAAAAGGTTTCAGTTCTCCTAACGACCATGCATAGTGTTTAGAGGGTAGATCAAGGGGGGCTTATTTTGGAGGGTGTTAGTGTGATGATGGGTGCAAGGACAGAGGAACAATTCTAGGGCATCGTGAACGGTGTGTTGGCATTCAAAAAGTTGAACGCAGTTGTTGAATGTTGATCTTTGAGTGTGTGTGTTGATATATTGTATTGATTATGGTTTGAGTCCTGAGTCCTTGTAGCTAAACAGCTATTCACCTGCGCTTGATCTCTGAAAGAAAATCATAATAAAAAACTAAAAATATGTTGCAGCCAAATGCTGTAAGCATACCTCAATAAATGGATTTTAAGCGCCGGCACTGTATTGACCCTTGTCTAGAAAGCTGTTAGCGAAACAGGAGTAGAAAGGGATTGAAGGACGTAGATTTCAGGATTTAATAATCTTTCCAGAATTCATTCCTCTTCTTTAAGAGGCATCATAGTTTATCCACCATATTGAAATTGAGAAAAGCACTTCTAAACCCTTTGCATGTCCCAATATATCATAATGGCGCCATCTTAAATTTACTGAGGTCAAACGCTAATCACGGTATTCCAGGCCAGAATTTAGACATCTGCCAGGAGTTTTCTGAGTTATTAATAACAAATTTCCAGCAATTGAAATTCACTAAATCTTTATGACTACCGCAATCAAAGATTAAATCTGTAAGGAAGGATCCCATCACTTCTAAGTGGTGCTTTGATATCTTGTCTCCGATGTAATTTGCGACAGTCTGGAGCTAGTTATGGTATTTTCACGGTACACTGTTTTGATGCCCATAGGAATTAATCATACTCAAATGAAAAACAATATCATTTAAAAGAAGTGAGAGTACCGTCTTATAAAAAGAATTCCCACACTCTCTTGACGCTTGATGAATAGCTGGTTACATGAGTTCATTTGAGTAATCATTAATTCATGTATACGTACTTGCAACATGTGTCATGAAGGAGCATTTCCTTATCATGGGAAAGAGACAAATCACAAAACCTTTTGCCATAAAGTAGTGCTTTATAATTAGCGCTTCTTGGGATATTTGCGGAAAGTAGCTGTATCTGTTCTCTTAATACTTATACTTTTGTTTTATATACTTAGATCTACATGTAACAGTAGGACTTGTATTGTAGTATAAAAAGCTCTTGATCTTTGTAACATACCATTAAAGTTACAAGGATTATTTTCCAGCAAAGTAAAAATGGATGGATAAGGAGGGGTCATTCAGGCTTTCTGAGAATATTCCCTTTTTTATGGAAGTATATTTAGGTCATAGAGTACATGCATATAGAGTAGATACAAAATCACGTTCAGAGCCATTCGGGCGAGGGGGAGCACTGCTATATGCCTTTGGCCTCCTGCCCCCTCACTTTGCAGCTATTCCCTTTAACATAATTAATTTAGACCTTGAATTATTAATCATAACATCAAAAGGGAAGAGCTGTTTTAAATAGAAGGGGGCTGCTGCTACACCCTGACTTCCTTCACTTTACAACTATTCAAATCCCAAAAGAAAAGAGCCTCTTTAAGGAGGTGTGGGGTACTGGTATACACCTTGCCCCCTCTTTCAAAGACCATTCCCCGGTGGCATTATTTATTTAGGTCGTAAAGTAATCACGACATTTGGGAGACTGGCTTCGTCATGCTGCAGAACTAATCAGGAGGCTTTATACCCGGCCGCTATTCGGTCCGCTAACCAATCCACTCGCCCACCAGTGCACTCCTAATGCAATCTCTGCGCTCCAGCACCCCGCCCCCACAGGCTTACATCATTCTGATTCCCAATCAAAAGTATGAACTGTTTTTACAACCTAAAATCTAGGTACGACCCTTAATTTCTCTGCCACTTGGCTTACAAACAGGCAGTAAGATTCAACGTTTACATTTTGAATTTGTAATTGGTTTTACAAGAACAGTTTATGTTAAATCTAGAAGTCAGTATAGAACATATGGGAGTAAACTCCTAAATGCTGTACATGCGTGAAATGAACATGAACGTTCCCACTTTTGTTATAGCTATGTTGTTTTACAAGCATTCAGCAGCCTGTTCATTTACGGGCCACTAGGTTTGGACATAAACAAAATTTTAGTTAAATTTGAGCTTTAGTTTCTATTTTCAATATTTAGAGTTCCGTATAATTCCTTGTTAAATTTGGTCGTGAATATCTTCTATGGGGGGGGGGGCATCTTTGAAATGCACCTGTTTATTTTTCTGGGTGAAAATAGTTTCTTATTTATAGTCCACACTTTAATATCATAGAACGGTTTCCTAAACGACTACCATGAGATTTGCCTCCCACAGCACCGAAAAGGTTAAACGTTGAATGATTTATTTTTAGCCCTGATTGATTGATCCATGCAGATGGGACCCAATTTAAATTGAAAGCAAAAGAAAAAGGCTCATTTGTCTCCCGTTGATCAGTTTTGATACATTGTCTCCTCTATCGAAAGGAAAACCTGCCAGACAGTCGGTCCTGTTATGCGCAAAGTACTTTCTCATAGTCATGTAGCCTACGTGTATACATGTGCATTGTAAATGTATGAAGCAGTAAATTGTGATTTGAAAGCAAATTTTGATAGAATGTATAGTATTTTATGTTTGTAAATAAATTCATCAAAAGAAAAAATTTCCATTTTTATATTTAATGAAATTTATTGCTAAATGTATAATGCTGGTACTTTACATGTAAATCATCTTGAATTATGAATTGAGAATTCATGGGAAAAAGTTTAATCTGTATTTTAAAAAATCAGACCTTGCAAATTTTCAAAATAAATGTATAGGGCCTGTGAAAAAACAGTGTTTAACTACCTGTAATGAAATAAATATTTTTACAATGAGACTGAGAACCATGGTTTCTCATAATAATCCTGTACTGACGTGCCTCTGTTATATTGGCTGCATCAACAGAGATCATGCACATACAGTCGTCTTTGTATAAAATAGTGCTCAATTTAAATTTTGTTAAAAGTCAGTTTTCATAAGGAGGAGGCGCGATAGCTTAGTCAGTAGAGCAGTGGTCTCGTGATCCGGTGACCCGGGTTCGAAACCAAGTCGATGTGGTAGTGCCCTTTGGTAAGGCATTAATCCTCATTACCAGATCCCTCGGAGAGGACCTAAAGCCGTCGGCCGTCTGGTTGCTTACTTACAAGCATTTATGCTTTCTTAGCAGTCAGGTAAAACAACCTCCACCACATTCATAATTGAGATGAGATTATAAATGATCTTTTAGCACAGAATTGCTTTCATCCGCCCATTGTGATGTGAAATTTAACATTTTTTTTTTGTTTGTGTGTGTTTTTTTTCTCCCTCTGCAGTCAGTGATTGGCAACAAGTATGGTGATTATGTGCTGCCGTCTAGGATCGAAGGAACAGAATTCAGTCACATCAGGGACTGTGCATTTGAAGCTGGCAAAGGTTAGTATCTCATATCGTAAGCTTTTCTTTTAAGCCCCACTGCACTACTTGTAGCTACTCGCGCCCTCTACAGGTGTATATAGCAAACAATGCCTAATCAGTGACCGTTAGTCCCCCATGATCCCCTTTTTCTTATGTTAATTGAGAGCTGATTTGATGAGATAACCACCTGTCAGTGACCTTGCAGGGAGGTCTATCCCCCTGGCCAAACTAGTGCAGACGGGCTTTAAACTGCTTACATGCCATACAAATAATCTCCCTGTGCCAGATTGTGTTTTTCATGAAATAGATATACAAAAGTTTTCAAGATTATGCAACTGTTTCCAGTGCAAGATTAATCTAAACTGGTAAAGGGTTGTCATGTCAACTTTTTTTTTTGGTAAGTACTCAAAAAGGAAGTTTATTGCATATTGATTACATGTACATACACTATTGAGCTTAAGTTCATGTATACCTGCAGTTACATATACATGTACTGTACATGTAAAACTCTTGGTATCCAACACTTGTACATGTTTGATGTCTCATCCGGTTTTACTAATAACTTATGTACATGTACATATCTTGAAATCAACTCGACTAATCTATCCTTATGACTGTACCTGTATGGGGGCCTCATTTACAAGCACAACTTGCTTTTTAGTGGTTGTGGCTTATACTATGTATTTTGTATTTATGATTTTTAATTTTGTTATGATGCCAAATAAATTGAATTGAATTGTCTCTGATATTGCTGGTGTCATTTAAGGTTGATTCTCTTTGCTCTTTTCTCTTTTCCAGACATCAATGTTCTTGATGAGTGGTACGTCCAAGAGGGTGATGGTGTAGAACAGGTCTACGTCCTTCAACCCATATCCTCAAAGCTCAAGTACTACTATGATTCGTAAGCAATCTCAAGGTTCTTCTCAAAATCAGGAATTTTCTTGTATTAAGTAGCGTAATATCCATTACAAACTTTATTCAGAGTCTAACACTTGGCACATGGAGTATATTGAATTTTAATTGTGGAGGTGAAGTCAAAGGGTCATCTTGAAGTAGAGGTTCATGACTTTCAATGGATATCTTCAAAACTCAAGTTCTTCTATGACTTGTAATATATTTGTGTATCATGGCTGTAAGCTTTGAACCTCTATCACCTTCAGTGCTCAAAATACACGGGGGCGGTGGGCGATTCGCCCCCGTGAGCTACATAATCGCCCCCGTCAGGTTGCTCACGGGGGCGATTGCAAAATTAAAAATCGCCCCCGTGGAATTATAAAATAAAGATTATCTTTTCTGTTATAACTTTAACATAATATTGAGTTTCAATTTTTAAACCTTAAACCAATGAAATTGAACTTAGATTAGCGTGCAAGATTTCTCGTTTTTATGAGTATAGGCCTATTCAGCTCGCAGTGCCGCCGTCAGCAGTGGTTATAGGCCTACTGCGCCGTTAGTAGCGGTATGTGTGCACGCTGCCGCGCCATGTCTGCTCGAGCTGGAGGCGATCGCGAATTACGAAAGGGCAGAAACATGGTCATGAAGAAGTTTTTCGTTGTGAAAGCGTTAACCCGCTGAAATCTGGTGATTTCAAATGACCAGCAAATAATGAACCTCGACCAGTAAATCAATATTAGGGACTTTTAGATTTGCACGATGAGAACGTGGACTGCTACGTGTGACCTCCTTTTAAGGCAGTGCCAGTGCTTAAAAGGACGTCACAGTCATGTGACTGCCAGTGCACGTCCACGCAAATCTAAAAGTCCCTATTGAGAAGAAGAGGAAGACCAAGATGTCGTGGAATAATATGGTAACATGGACAGATCTACGGGGGGAGGATTAGGGGGTTTAACCCCCTCCTCCCAGCCCCCCGGCGCCCCCTTGGGCTGCCAAGTGAAAATGTGATATTAAAGCGGGGGGGGGGGGGGGGGGGGGGGGGATGCTGGAGAGGAGGACTACTCTATTTTATTTTTTTCAGGGGGGGGGGGAAGTGAAGCGCCGTTTTAGCATGACTTTCTTTTTTTCTCAGATAACCCTAAGTTTCTGGTTGCTGCTTTATTATGTAGTTGATAATGCATGATTAAAATAAAGAGAGAGAGAGAGAGAGAACCACCATCATTTTGCAATGGTTCATGCAGGGTTCGTGTAATATGAATTTGAAACCATTTCTTAGCGTCTCAATCCTAAAAAAAATAGCAAAACTATTTTTGAGGAAAAGCATTATACTGAATTAAATGAAGAATAATAGCTTTATATTGGATCATACTAATACTGATACGGGCTAAAGACAATGTAGTATTTGTATAGAGGTATTCCAAAAAGACATTCTGATAATCAACATTTGTTCTGGTATCATAAATGTATATACGCATAATACCACTGATCTTTATGATTTCTTAACGTGACATAGCTTCTTCTCCCCCTGCAAACAAAAAAGAAAACAAGGTTATTTAATAAAAGGATCATGCAAAAAAAAAAATCATTGTGATTCAAATTGATGCAAGGATTTTTTTTGAATAAGCAATGCTTTTCACCAGAATCTTCTTTGTTAAAACGACTTTTACAAATCTCAGCCATGCAAATCTGCCACTGTGTTGTAAGATCACTTTCAGATTAGGAGAAGTGTATTCTTTAATGAGTATTTTACATTGAATGGAACGTCTCAACTCAGTATAAAGCATGGCTGAGATTTGTAAAAGTTGTTTTTACAAAGAAGATTCGGGTGAATAGCAGTGCTTATTCAAATAAATATTCGCATCAATTTGAATCACAATCATTATTTGTCGCTTAATCCCTTTTAATGACCTTGTTTTCTTTCTCGTTTGCAAGGGGAGAAGAAGATATGTCACGTTAAAGACATCATAAAGATCAGTGTTGTATGCGTATATTATACACAGGCCAGTAACAGCTATGTAGCTTGTAAATTTGTAAGAGGGAAAATGCTGATTGAAATGATAATGATGAAATAGCACATAATTGAGGAGTATCATAGGTACCAATTCAATTGATATTAGTATAAAAAAAAGAGCCCCCGTCAGTACTAAAAGAGCCCCCGTGAGAAGGCTCACGGGGGCTCTTTTTTGGGGGGAAGAGCCCCCGTGGACAAAAAATTAATTTGAGCCCTGATCACCTTACACTGATATGCCTTTAACATCAGTTTTTAAGACTTTAATATTGAATCATCTTTTGTACCAAATGGGATCATCTTTGTGTATGTAAGTGAAATTGAAATTTGAAGCTCATATGAATATGAATACTGTCCTCAATGTTATTTGTTTTAAAGGGTCATGTTTTACTTCTACATGTATACCAAATTCACTGTTTGGTACAATTTCCCTTAGTGTTTCTATTCCTGTAATCTTCTTGTTTAAGGTGGTCTGTAGTATTAAATGATGCTTAGTGTCATGTTGTTTGCATTTAATGATTCTGTAATCCTTTGCAGGAGCCCAGAGAACAAGGAGCTAAATGAGAAGGACCTGAGCAAATGGAAGAAGGCCCATGATGCATTGCTGGAGATCCTACAGCAGTGTGCGGAGTATGTCCATGATGAGGGACTTCTCAACGAAGAACAACTCCACAAATATCACATGTCGGGTATGTTCATGTAGTCTAAGTTTTAAATCTCACAAACATATGACCAGTCCATCCAATAGACAATATTAAGCCATGGAGGTATATTAAAAGTATTTCATATGTATGTATAATAGGTGTCTCAGGTATTTTATAAGTATAGTTATGCATACTAATTTAAACTCTTACATCAACAAAGAATTATCAATCCCTAGTCCTTTATGATAGTTATAGCTCCATTATTAGCAGAATACTATCAATGCATTCATCCGTATTTTCATTTGTATTTTCTTCATGCTATGTTAATGTTCATTCATGATTGTTTATAATTTTCTCTTTTTCTCTCTAGCTCTTGAAAATGAGTTGACAAGCGCTGTTTACCAGACAGATAGCTCTGCTGAGAGGTGCGTGTGTGTCTACCGCTCGTTCGACGACCTCCCTCAGAATGTGGAATCACAGGAGATGCACAACTATGTCGACATTCGCAAACCCAACCGTCCAAAGATATACAAGAAGGCGCAGGAACGTATCAAAGCGCTCAAAGACACCAAGATCCCCTCGATGCTGCCGGAGGAGAATATCCTCAAGTTCTGCATACCCTGGACGGCAAACGGCGTCGACCCTGCAAACTCTGAAGAACATGAACAGTACTTGAAGGAATTCTGTGGACAGTTCACGTCCAAGATCAAGGAGTTGGTGGACAAGTTTGTTGTCCGAGAGAAGGCCAATCTGCAGATGAGAGAAGGGTCAGGACTGACCGGAGAGGTCCTGGCCCACCTTCAGGTGGCCGATGAGTACACAAGGAGCTTTGTTTCACGAGACTCTGTCGTGAACCAAGTTGAGAGACTAGTCAAGAAGACACAAGGAAAAAATGACAAAATGCAAAATGCGATATTATTGCATGGTGAGCCGGGAAGCGGTAAGACTGTAGTTGTGTCTCAGGTTATCAAGATGATGCCTACTTGGTTAGGTGATTCGGTCATTGTTGTGCCAAGGTTCCTGGGTGCAACGACCACGTGTAGAACTGTTCGTGACATGCTGGAATCAGTATGCCATCAGGTGTATGAAGTATACAAACCCAAGAAAAGCAAATTTGGTGACATTCCGCAAGACCTAGAAAAGCTCAGACCGTACTTCAAGAACTTAATCGAGAAACTCCCCTCCCCGACACGACCACTGTGCATTGTACTGGATTTCCCAGCAGAGTTTGTGGAAGAATTTCAAGGCGATAACTTAGATTGGCTCCCGGTGAATTTCCCTACGTCCACCACCCTGATCATAGCCCTGACCGATAGCCCTGTCCTCAAGGTATTCCGTGAACGAATCTCAGACGAATCCAATCTGATCAGAGTCACGTCACTCAATGACAGGGAGCTATCCGAGATGGTGCGGCTTTTCCTAACGGACAACAGTCGACTCCTGGTGCCGGAGCAGGTGAAGATCGTTACAAGGGCGGGTGCGAAGAATCCCTTGCCGTTGTTTGCCAAGCTGTTATGCAGAGAGACTCAGTTTATGAACCCATCAGGGAATGGTAAAGATCCCATCTCAACCCCTGTAGACGCATCCAACATACTGCTGCAGCATGTAGAAGATAGGAACGGCCCAGAAGTCACCACCATTATCCTGAGGTACAAAAATGATTTCTGAATATTGTCCTGTGATATAGTCAAGATTTGATTTTAGGACCATTATTTATGTACAATCTGGGTTTCACGTTTAATTGTAGATGCAGTATACATTAATCCTTTGGGTACAGGGTTCAGATGGTTCATTTGTTAAGCCTAGGAAATAGTAGAAAAATTGGTAGTCAACAGGATCTACATACACTCTTGTATGATCAGTGATATATTTTCTGCATAGGCCATTGAAGGTAACAAGAGGAATAGGCAGAAGTGGATGGATGACATAGCTGTATTCATCTCATTTCTTTTACTCAAGCTGTTTTGCATGTTCTTTTGAAACTGTAGTAGTTAGGTTCCTACCAATACTATGTTTAACCTTTACTTTGATCCTCTTCTTTGCCACAAACACACACACACAGGTACTTAACGGCAGCTAGGTACGGCCTGACTGAATCAGAACTGATGGACCTCCTGTCCTGTGACGATGATCTCTTGGCGATGGTCTACCCTCATACCCTACCCCGGGTCTTGAGGTTTCCTCACAGAGTCTGGATCAACATCAGGATTGACCTAGGTATGTGTCATGTGAAGGGAGATGTGGTGGTGGTGGTTGGTGGTGGTGGTGGTGTTAGTAGTGGTGGTGGTGGTGGTGGTGGTGGTGGTGCTGGTGATGATGATCTCTTGGCGATGGTCTACCCTCACACCCTACCCCGGGTCTTGAGGTTTCCTCATAGAGTCTGGATCAACATCAGGATTGACCTAGGTACGTGTCATGTGAAGGGAGATGGATGGATAGTAGATAGTGCCTGTGACTGAAGGAATGATGGTGGTGCTGGTAGTGGTAGGGGTGATGATGATGATTATGATGGTGATGATGAGGTGATGATGAGGCTTAAAGAAAAGGATGTTGTATTACCCTTTAGGTGCCAAAACATGGGTCGGTTGGTCAGAAATCTATCTTTTTTTTCCTTCCCTCTTTGGGCTGATATTTCTCAGTTTTTAATGCTTTAATATTTTTTTCTCTAAAAAATGGTAACAAAAAGAAAAAGCCAACCGTTTTTTTATTTTTTTTTTTTTTTGGGGGGGAGGGGCGGTCGCAAAACAACATCTTTTTTTTCTTCGGGCCTGATCGTAGTAACGATGGTGATGATAGAAGTAATGATGGTGGTGATGATGATTGTACCGCTGCTGATGATGAAGATGAGGATAGTGTCAGTAGAAGTGGTTGTAATACTGATTCTGAAAGTCCTTGTCACATCTTTCATTTAACCATATTTTCAGGTCCCCTGATAGCCATCCGTTACCTTGACAACAAAATGTTGATGACCTGGTCTAGTTCTGTCATCCACAAGGTCGCTCGTCAGCGTTACCTGAGCTCCAATGTAGAGAGCATCAAGGCTCATAAGTATTTGGCAAACCTCTTCTTGCAGACGTGGCTCAAAGGTATGTACAATTGATCGAATTGTATGCATGTATTATCATCAGTAAGCACAAAATATATGCAGTTAAATGTGGGCAAGAAATACTTTGTACGAACAAATGCCCTCAAATGCTGTCAAAATACATCTCTGGAAAAGCTTTAACAGTGTAGTAAATTCCGTTCAGTGCTGGTCCAAGTCAATTCATTTCATTTTTTGTTTTAACGATATAAAGCTTTTCCATCTAAGATTCATGGGAAATTAGGGGGGGAAAGGTAAAAAACCGATACCAGGTATTATGACTGTTGTTATTCATCTCTTGTATGTCAGTTGTATAATCTCAATCAAACCTCTGAGGTAGATAGTATTTCCTAAAGATCTTTAGTATGTTTTTTGAATTTGTCTGTGATAATTCCCAAACTATGACTATCACATGATAGTTTTCTTCAACAATTTCTCTCGTGGTTGCTCTACTTCCAGGAAAGAAGTGGGAGCGAGAGGATCGTAAGATGGAAGATGACGAGGAGGTAGATGGTAACCGGTACATCGCCCCTCAACCCCTCCTCTACGGGAAGACCCAGTACAACCTGAGACGACTGAGTGAACTATGGAACCATCTAGCTTATGCTGGTAAGATCCCTCTCTGTAGTAGATCAGACAGTATTTCAGATACGTTCAAATCTCTTCATTGGTTATCAGTCTCAAAAAGAATCATGTATAAGCTGTTACTCATTACTTACAAACACTTCTTCATTTTTCACCCCATTACTTGTATCAGATTTTGAAACCGCACACCCCACAACGCAATTTACGTTCAGGTACACCCAAAACCAAACAAAAATGGGGGACAGGGCTTTTGCTAACATTGCACCCAAATTATGGAACAATTTACCATTACAAATAAGACAATCACCATCAATTGAAATATTTAAGAAGAAACTTAAGCACCATTTGTTTAGGTCGTAGTTTTAATATTGTATAATTATTTTGATACTCTACAGAGCGCCTTGAGCAGTCTTTTAGAATGGATATGTGCGCTTTATAAGTTAACATTATTATTATTATTATTATCTGTGTAAGCCTATCTTTGCTTTGTACTGTGTTAATGGATCTATACAAAGAATTAATATTGTAAGACAGAAGCTTGCTAATTCGTATACGTAATTCAATTCTTTAAGTCTTATTGATCCACTGGACATCAAATCCTGCTAAAACTTAGATCTTGTATTTAGTCAAGTTCCTCAATGGAAGGGTCAATTGTAATGGCTGTTTTTCATGGGAAACCTTTTGCATGAAGAAAATGTCACATAATGAAGCAGATGTGTTTTGAAATAACATTTAGAAAGTATGTTTGTACTAAGGGCTAAACTGGCTCACATATTTATGACAAGACAACAACCATTTAGAAATCTAAACCGTTGGGGATGTATGTTGTACAGAACATGATATTTACCAACTTGTGAAGAACATTGAAGGGGATTTGTCTATGAGGAATAATTGATGTTTGCATGTATCTGTTTACTTTACAATATAACTGGTAATTTATCTAAGCCGTGTGCCCAGAAGGTGTTGATTTGTTTTACTGAAAGAATTGAAAAATCTCTATTTTCATTTAACCAGGTGATCTGAAGATGCTGAAATCGGCCGTTGTGTGCAATTTTGAGTACCTGCTTGCCAAGACCCATGCCTCATCGGTCTACCATGTACTGCAGGAGCTTGCTACCATCAAATGCCTGGTCCTGGACCTAGAGATAGACCTGGTCTATGCAGCCCTAGCCAAGTCTGCCGAGGCCCTGATGGCTGATCCCTTACAGCTGGCTGCCGAGCTCATCAGTAGGCTCCTGCCGATTAAAGGTACATTTAATTTATAAACACTACAGGGATTATGTGTGTGTGTGTGTGTGTGTGTGTGTGTGTGGGATCACATGTATACAGACTTCTGGCAATAAGATCTTACAGATTTGTGTCAATGAAATCTGTTTATGTACATCTAGGAACTGACCTTAAATGTCACTATCGTAAAATGCAACTTGTTATAGAACCCAGGGTCATTATGTAGGAAAAACAGCTAGGTAATCGCTCAAGTGACACACATCCATCCACTGAACCAACTCATAAACACCTAACGTGCATACATTTGTACTGCCTTCTGGTTGGGAGTTTGAACCTCATTTAACTGTGACCTGTACTGTGGGTATAGCAAGTTCTGCAGAAGGGTCTTGATCTTGTGTGAGACTTAGTTATGTTTGTGAATCAAATGATTCTTATCAGTTAAAAATTGTATTATCCTTGCCCAGTGCTCCTCATCGCCAGACATTAAAATAGGCTACTTCTTTTGATTACTTTCTTTTGATTTTGATTTTGTCCTACAGGTCAGTATCCCAGAGATCTAGACTCTTTGGTCGCTCAAGCGATGGAGTGGTGCGACCAATTCACTCGGCCGCTCCTGGTACCCCTTACCTCCTGGCTCCCCACCCAGCACGACTCCCTCATCTCATCAGTTCAGTGCGGCAGCGAGATCGTCAAGATGGTGGTCTCAACGGACAACCAGCAGATCATCCTCATTACCAACGACAGGACGCTTGTCTGCTACAAACTTGCCTCAAGTGAGAAGCTCTGGTCCTGCAAGGCGGTTCACGCTGAGGATATCACCTGCATCACCATCTCCAAGGACGACCGCATCGTCGTCACTGGGTCAGCCGACAAGACACTCAAGCTCTGGACAGCGGATGGTGGAAAGCTCTTGAGGACGATCCAGAAGCATGAAGGTCCTATCTCCTGCGTTGCTGTGACACCAGACTGCAAGCGGGTCATCAGCGGTGCTCTGGACGGTCTGGTCAGAGTGTTCAACATCGAAGATGGGGAGCTGGTGTGGAACCTGACAGGATCATTCGAATCCTTGGTGACGGTCAAGTCCAACAAATACAGCAATATCCTGATTGCAGCATCGGCGGATTGCAAAGTGCGGGTATGTTGACATTGAGCACAGGTTGAATGTTACGAGAACAATGAAATGTATTCTTCATTTATCGAATTTAACAAGAAAACAGTAATTGCCTTCATACAATGTACTTGCTTTAGTTGTATCTCACCCCACATCTTTCTCTCCCTCTCTCTCTCTCTCTCTCTCTCTCACCTTCACTCAATTTGTCTATCTGTCTCACTCTCTCCTGTTTGCACATATTTTTAACACTCTCTTTATCTTCTCCTCTCGTGACAGACATGGAGTCTTCGTGATTTCTCCCAGCTAAACGTGATCGAGGGCCAAGGAGGTTTCATAAACCATATGACAGTCTCAGGGGATGACATGTTCTTCCTCAGATGTAAGTTTTCTTCTCAATTTCAGTCACTTCCAAATAACCCCCAAACAAACAAAGATGGTTGAAGCACAGATATGGTCTCAGTCTGTGCATGATTAAAGTGATGGAAACTCTAACTTACAAATCAACTTTTAGAAATGCATCATTCAACAAGTAATCACCTAAAGCCCGTCTGTACTAGTTTGGCCAGGGGGATTAGACGTCACTGGCAGGTGGTTATCTCATCAAATCAACTCTCAATTAACATAAGATAAAGGGGATCATGGGAGACCAACAGGCACCGATTATGCATTGTTTGCTATATAGAGGGCGCAAGTAGCTATAAGTAGTGCAGTGGGGCTTTAAAAACTCTCATCCGGTTTATGAATTTGCAGAATCTACAGCTTAGTTCAAATGGCGTCCACAGTATTTTCTCATGTTAATTACATGACATTGGATTTGTGGTCTCATAGACCTCAAGAAATCTGTCTTACTTATTCATCTGGATGGAAGAAGAGATGATTGTTGGGGTTTGGTGGTTGCATTAATGTAGTTTTCTACTCCCACATCTATGATTATGACTCGTCTCTTTGCAGCTTACGAGGATTCACGGCTCAACATGTCTTGCTTGGTAACAGGGACCTTCGTCCATCCACTGGAAGGCCACAAGGGAAAGGTATGTCATCAGTTGAATTATTCAGACTTGAAATTGAGTTTAGGGGGGTGTTTCCACAAAGAACATGAAATTTCCTTGATAATAGAAAATATGAATGATTTGAATCAACATTTTATGCCTTTTAAAATAAATTTTACCAACTATTTTTTTAAAGATGCTAACGGCTTTCCATAACTGTTAAGTCCAACTTATAGTTAAGTTCGACTTAGGATCTTTATGAAACACCCCCTGGCCCCACAGCTCCCCTCATATGCCAGGAAAATTGTTCAACAGATTCTGGAGAAACTAAGAATACTGTCAAATCACTTTCACTTTATTACTGTCCTGTAAGTTTTCATAGAAGATGCTCAACATTCAAATGTTTGTCTGGCTTCTAGATCGAGTTCGATCCCTCAAAGTCCCACCTTCATGAAATTGTATTTAATATTAAAGTCTGGAGTAGCTTAACAGGTAGCCCAATCTCTTTCACTGTCTCCCTCTCTACACGAATTGAAACCCTACATTGTCCGGAGTATGTGGTACATGTACACTGTCAGTTGATACTAGTCCATGCTTCTTCCATTGGTCAATCAAAAAGAGTCAAAGTACATGTACATGATACACAATTTTAATTGTTGTCAAGAACAGTTTTAATTGCAAGAAATTTTAATTTGCCTTTTGCCCTCTGTAGATCGTTGACGTCTGCATGTGTCCTGAGGGACTCTATGCTGGCATAGCAACGTCCGAACAGGTCATCTACGTCTACAATGTCCGATCCCAGGAGCTAGTGCAGACCCTGACCGGTCACTCTGCTCCAATCCGTAAAGTGACCATCACTCCCAACGGTCACTTCTTGGTGTCGGCCTCAGCGGATGGGAATGTCAAGGTCTGGCTGCTGCCCAAGCCTAAGACTAAGGAGTCGGATCACACCAAAGCACATACGGACAAGGTCACATGCCTTGGTAAGAAATAATACACATGGATTATTTTAGGAACCTGACGTTTCCACGCTGTCTTTGGGCATGATGGTAACCCTCTTGGCGTGGATGGCACACAGGTTGGTGTCCTCAAAGAGGCCAACTAGGTATGCCTCGCTGGCTTCTTGAAGGGCCATCACAGCGGAACTCTGGAAACGTAGCTCTGTCTTGAAGTGCTTTATAGTGATAAAACTGCTTTATAGTGATAAAGCAGTTTTGCACGATTTTGGAGCCCTGTAATTTCAATTTTACTATTCATATGACTATAAAACAAATAGATTCACATTTTGAATATTCTTGTCACTTCTTTTTTCTGTAACTAATTTTGGAATACAATCTTCTCTTGCTAACAACTCGTTCATTAGGGAGTGGAGATGGTGCACATTGTGCATAAATTAATCCGATAACCGAGGTAATAATATATGTAAAGCGCTTAGAGACTGTATTTCTTATTAAGCGCTATATAAATCCAAACTCCAAACGCTTTCAAAGAAATCTTGGGGGGAACGAGCTTTTGCTCATGCCGGACCAGCCCTGTGGAATTCACTTCCACAGGAGCTGAAGAACTCCGACTCTTCAACATCTTTTAAGAGCAACCTTAAATCCCATTTGTTTAATTTTGCGTTTTGAAGACAGACATTCATTCTTTCATTCTTTCATTTTTGCATTTTCTTTCTTATGTAAATGTACACGATTCTTTGTCATGATGTAATGTGTTCCCTTATATTTTGAAGCGCCTTGAGCATTTAATCAAAATGGATAATGGCGCTATATAAATCTCATGTATTATTATTATTATTATTAACTATTATTATTATTATTAAATATTCTCATTCTTTATTCTGTTTCTTCAGCCGTGTCCAGAGATGCAAACTTTGCGATCACCGGCTCAGCAGACTGCTGCCTGAAGCTATGGAACATGGATCTGTGTCAGATCATCCATTCATTCTGCGATCATACCAAGCCAATCTCATGTGTGGCTATGGCTGATAATGGTAGCTTTGCTGTGTCAGGTAAGCTTTAGGCAAGGATTCATCAAGATTTTAGGGGTGGTAGTTTTACTGGAAGCCTATAGATTTAATTTGCTTCTACAAGCTTTTGTGTTTATATGTGAAACTTTTAAGCATTATACTCGTAAGCTGCTTCAGGAAAATTGTAATGTTCTTTTTATTTGTTGAGATGTCTCTATATTTTAGTTTTGTTCTTTATACACTCTCACCTGTATGTTATCATCCATCACCAACATCAATTGGATGTGTGATACATGAATGTTAAATCAGCTGAAATTGGTACTAGAGAGACACTTGTCTCTCTATTGTAATAAATGGAATGGTGAATACATAAAACAAAACAAAATAATGTTATCCATTGGTTGCTTGGGATGATGAAGTGCTTCAAGAAATTGGACAGACGCACAATAGAGAAAAGCATGCATTAGATACAGTCAAACCTGTCTATTAAGGCCATCTATAGAAAACATAAACAGTAGTCATTCTAGACAGGTGGTCTTTCTAGACAGGTTCTTCAACACACATTTCCTTCTAGAGGGAGGCAACATAGGTGACCAAAATAGACAGGTGGTCTTTATAGAGAGGTGGCCACTAAGACAGGTTTGACTGTACATGTGTATAATAAAAAAAATCATGCAAGAGAGTTTATGTTAAAGCCCGTCTGTATTAGTTTAGCCAGGAGGGATTAGACCACCCAGCAAGGTCACTGACAGGGGGCTATCTCATCAACTCAGCTCTCAATTAACATAAGAAAAAGAGGATCATGGGGGACCAACAGGCACCACCTTAGGCATTGTTTCTATATATAGGGAGCAAGTAGCTACAAGTAGTACAGTGGGGCTTTAAATAGAAAGCTGAAGACATTTACATTCACACCAACAACCTTCCATTCTTAGGTTCTGAGGATGCGACCGTCAAGGTATGGAGTACAGACAGCGGCGTGGTCGTCATTGCTTTTACCGAGCATGAGGACTCTATCTCATCTGTTCTTATCACATCGGACAGCAAGCGCATTCTCTCGGCCGACTTCAGCAACTACATGAAACTATGGGTGGCTGCTACTGGCGAGGTAAGATGCGCTGGTTGACTCGTTGATGTCAGTTCAGATAATCAAGGTTTTAACCCTTTGAGTACTGACTTCTCTCATTGCCATAGGCCTAATACAGGGACCATCTGTTTCCTGTAGGCAATAGGTTAACCAATTCTGTTAGGATTGTAAATAATTTCCTAAATTTACTTTCAAAATGCCAAGTTGACTTCTTAAATCTCAGTTTCTTTATTAAATTTGGCTTGCATATATCTCCCATGTAATGAAGAACCTTTACAGTGTATGGACCTGTTACAGTTTTTCTGACCAAACAAGTAGGTATGTTTAACCCAAACACAAATTATAAAACATTAATATTTAATGGCAGGATTCACCGCCCATGACATGGAAGGAGTTAAGCTGTTTCTGTTCTCCTGAAATCATGTAATAGGCAATCAAGAAATGAAGAAGTATTAAGATTTATATCCTAGTCAATCAAAATCACCTTCTACATTATTTTATCTTTTTGTACTCCCTTCTGATTCTCATGCAAAGAATTTCAAGCAAACAGTTAAGAAGTTGAACAAAGTACAATTCCTAGTATTTCTTTTCAAAGCTGTTAACATTATATTTGCTATTTTTTAAAATCAAATACAGGTTTTATTATCCTGTATGGGTCCCTCAGCTATGGTCATCCTAACACCAGATGATACGTATGCCATCAGTGGAGACCGCAACGAGCTGATGAAGATCTGGACTACGGGCAGTGGAGAATCGGTCAAGACCGTCAACCATGTACAGGTAATAATAATAATAATAATATTTAATTTTTATAAAGCGCTTTACAAATATACTATACAGGTATATATCAGTGCTCTCATCAATCAGATGGCTACACAAACGAAAATTATAATCAATTATTATCTATATACGGCTTCCAAGTGGTGCAACAAATCAGTGTATTCAATATCTTTAGCGCAGTACCCAAATGACTGACCAATATTGTTTTCGTATTGCTCAGTCATCTAGGAACTTCAACTATTGATATCGATATCACACAAAAACCTAGCCATATTTATTGAGGTAAAAATTATCTATCTAAGTCAAATGTTGTTATTTTGCTAGTCAGCCTGATATAGATAATAATAACAATATTATATAACTTTATTTTTATGTGATACAAGAATATATTGCTCTCGCTATGACAATGTTGGACTCGTCTCTGACTTGTTCATTATCGTCATAGCTTGAGCAATATATTCTTGTATCACACTCAAAGCCATCCAATATTATATAAATATCTATTGGTTTGTATTCTGTTGTTGTAGGTGCATGCATGGGAATCGATAATTGGAAAATGGATGATATTGTGATTTGAAACATTATGACATAATTATTTGACACTTTATGGTGTAGAGGATTAATGTGAGGCGATGATATCAAAGAAAGTAAGAGGTGTACAAGGAGTATGGTCTAGATAATGATAGTACTCTTCATTTCATAAACATTCATGTACAAGGCCAATATGATTGAATTTTATTTATTTATTTTTCAATTATTTGTCTTTGATTAAAAACTGACCAGCAGCACAGGCTGAAGGAGTCAGTTTACAACTAGAATATACAAAATATTCAACAATATTATGAATATAGAATGTACAAAAGAAATGTAGTACAAACAAAATGAAAAATACAAAGAATTATACATTGCTTCAGTAGGCCTACATGGGATATCAAAGAGAAAGAAAGGAGAGATAAAGGTACGGAGGGGTAGCTGAGAAGAGCGAGAAAGCAAGAGAGAATGTAATTTCAGTATTGATAATGTAGCTGTATAATACAGATGATAGAAGTTGGTTGGAACTTGGACAAAATTCGTTCTCTTGGAGTTATGCTTTTGATCTCAGTGTAGGAATGGGAACAGATTTAGATATCAGGGGGTGTTTCACAAAGATACTTAGTCAAATTTAAATCTAAGTTGGACTTCAACATTATGGAGAGCCATTTGTAGCCTTAAAATAGAATATATTCAAAAGCAAAAATTCAAGTATTTTATTTATTAATTCCACATCAAGAACATGAAATCTTTTTGATAATAGAAAATATGAATGATTTGAATCAACATTTTATGCCTTTTAAATAACTTTTACAAAATATTTTTATAGATGCTAACGGCTTTCCAAAATTGTTAAGTCCAACTTGGAGATAAGTTCAACTTTGGATCTTTGTGAAACGCCCCCCAGGTATCACATAGATTGAACACTTTTTTCTCTACTTTTTGTTTTGTAGATCATCACATGTGTGACTGTGACAAGAGACAGTCAGTTCACAATCACAGGCTCTGAGGATATGTCTCTTAAGATCTGGGAAACTAAGACTGGCAAACTTACTCAGGTAAGACATCAACCATGTTATTATTCAGGAGTGTCGAGAGCATCTAAATCATGCTTTTGATTTAAATGATTCTGTCCTAAGGCTGCAGGTATTCCATTGCCATGTTAAAAAACATTCTACTTTTTATTTCAATTGTTTATTTTTCGCTTTGGCTCAATATTATATACCTTGCATTTCTGAGTAGTAAGAAATAGTATGCTGTTCTTTGCAAATTGTTTGATTGTCTGGGATTAACATGGTGGCAGTCTAAATAGGAGCAAGCTGGGAAACGTAGCCATGAACTTACAACACAAAACTATACAGAAATCTGGACCAATTAGAGTATTTTAGCCACTATATCTGTCATTTACCTTAGGAAGAAATAGGTTCTGCAAGGTCACTGGCAGGTGATTATCTCATCAAGTCAGCTCTCAATTAACGTAAAGAAAAAGGGCATCATGGGGGAGCAACGGGTACCGCTTAGGCATTGTTGGCTGTATAGAGGGCGCAAGTAGCTACAAGTAGTGCAGTGGGGCTTTAACAAACTATAATCATCTCTCTGTTTGAACGATAACAGATCTTGGCAGGACATGATGACCGGGTAACCTGTGTAGCTACGGCTGATCATAACCGTCATGTGATGTCAGGCTCGGATGACTCTACTCTCATCATATGGAACATGTCTACAGGAGAGATAGAGAAGACACTCACGGGACACACGGCCGCTGTGACTGGCTGTAAGATGACAAGCGATGGCAGCATTGCTGTATCATGTAAGTGGATAGAAGGAAAACATCTGTATAAGGCTTTTAAAAAAAGATGTTGTATTGCCCTTTAGGTGCCAAAAGATGGGTCGGTCGGTCAGAAATCTCTTTTTTTTCTCCCTCTGAGCTGATATTTTTCAGTTTTTAATGCTTTAATACATTTTCTTCTCTAAAATATGGTTTTAAAAAAGTTTTTTAAAAAGCTGACCATAGATTTCAAGATTTTTGGGTCGATTGCAAAGGACAATACAATATTTTTTTTTAAGGCATAATTGGGGATGTCATCAGAGGGATGTTTCACAAAGACAAAGATCGACTTTAAGTTGGACTTAAATATGGCAGGCAGTTCATGCCACTGTTTGCTTTCACCATTTACTGGCATTGGTCTCTCAAGGGACATACAAATCATGGTCACAAATCTACAGAACTTACATTTTTTGATAATTCATTCATTATTGAATTACAAAATATTATCTAAAGATCATAATGGTGAGAGCAAACAATGGCATGAACGGCCTGCCAAATTTTAGTCCCAACTAAAATTCGATCTTAGTTTTTGTGAAACCCTCCTAGGTTGAGTTATTAGGTGCAGGTTACTAATCTCCTGAGGCTACTTCATCTTCAAAGTTAGGCACCACCATAGCATCTCAGTCTCTTGTCTCCTTTTTGTTTCAATATCTGAAATTTCACTCTCAGACTTGGGGATGCCACCGCCTCCAGTGGAAAAAACAAGAACAATAACCATTTTGTTTAGCCACAGAAGCCTTATTAGTAGCAAAGCTGATCTTTCTTAGAGCTCTGTAATAGTCACTTTATGCCAGGTACCCATATACACTGGGTTTGAGGGTGGCAAATTGGATAAATGTCTTGCCAAAGTACATTAGTGCAAGGCTGGCATTCAAACCCTGTATTGAGAGTGAATGAACCCCTACACCATGACACCTGAAAAAGATATCAGTGAATCTGCAGAATGCTATTGTTAATAAACTGATTTCTTTTTACAAAGGTAAGCTTGCAAATATGCATTAAAACCCATCTGTACTAGTTTGGCCAGGGGGGACTAGACCTCCCTGCAAGGTTACTGACAGGTGGTTATCTCATCAAATCAGCTCTCAATTAACTTAAGAAAAGGGGGATCATGGGGGACCAACAGGCACCGATTAGGCATTGTTTGTTATATAGAGGGCGCATGTAGATATAAGTAGTGCAGTGGGGCTTCAAACTTATTTCTTTTTACAAAGGTAAACTTGCAAATATATATTAATTTGATCATATTTTGTTTACTTGTTGTACCCAGGTTCGTTGGACGGCACAGTGAGGGTATGGATGGTCCAGACAGGCACCATCATCACCTCCTTCCACATCCGTCAACCAGTCGCTGGACTCCAGATGTCCTTTGATGCTAGCTTCATCATCCTCAAGCTGGTGGAAGGAGGGAGCACTCCTCTCCTCTCTCTTCATAACAGCCCTGCATCTGATATCAAGTCACAGAGCCAGGTCGACATCGACGTCAAAGAAGGTAATCTACGATAGATAGTAGAATAAGAAGAAACCCTCGGGAGTGGTTCACAAAGACTAAGATCAACTTTTAAGTTGGACTTAACTTTGGCAGGCCGTTCTGCTTTTAGCAGTAAAAACATCTGCCATGCAATAGCCTGTTAAAGATGTCAGTTCAAAACGGTTTCAAAATAACTTCACCAAGTTTCCAATGTTATTCTCTTCAACCCCTTAAAATGTTCACATTCTCTTGAATATATATGCATCTGTAAATGAAATTTGAAATAGAGGTACGAGGCAGTCCCTTTATAATGGGGAGTTTTAGAACAAGATCGTTGTCCCATTTATATTTGATCATGCAGATGACAAATATTGCAGTGAATATAGAAAGACAGGTCATAATTAATTTTTCTTTGTGTGCTTTCTTGTGTACAGAATCCCAGACTGTACTGCCGATCAAGCCCCACCCACCCCTGCTTCACAAACAAACCTCGCTTCAAATGTCCCAGGTGGGCCGCAAGTCAACAAGCTCCGCCCCCGACGCCAACCGCATCAAAGCCGCAAACAACCAGAAAGGGCGCCATCAGAGTTACTCTGATAACAGCTCAAGCAACGGCTCCACGGGCAAGATGAAACGCAACAAGAGATCGGGGGTCTGCCGCATTGTGTAGCATGATCCGGGATGAGTCGTCAGATGGCACGTGAGATTGAGAGTGATATAAAGAGATGTTTTTGTTCTGTGCAATCAGACTTTATGAAAGGAAGAATTTATATTTGAGATCGATCATTTTAAAATTTCTATTTAAGGATGTTTCTTTAATTACAGATTTACAGATCAACTTAATTCTTTGAACTCCATTGGACATTGAAGTGTTCTCTAGTCATTTCATTTCACAACTTGCTCTGAAAAAATGTAAAATCCTCAGTTTAATCTTCATGTTACTGAGCTTTCTTTCATTGATTTTCATTTCCCGGGCAGTTTTCTTTTTTCATTAAAGATTTTGAGAAAAATAATCTTCTATACTCTGGCTGTGTAGTCTTTGCCTGTCACCAGTTTGTTTTTTGCTTTAATAACCTTTTTATTACGTCACTTATAGGATGAAAGTGACTTTCACAAGATTTTCACAGTAAGAAAATATAAACAATTTGTAATTGTTCATTTACAAGTAAACTACGGGTCACAAGTACTTTTCAGTATTGGCTTCTGACTGTAAAAATGCCATCACTTGATCATTATTGCATTAGAAGCTTCTAACAAATATTTTGTTATTACATGCTTTCATAATGTAGTAAGGTACTCATTTTGAGATGTTTTCTTTACAATTTTCTTTACAATTTTTTATTTAAGTGTGACTAGTACATACACATCTTGATTGGTAGTGAAAGGCAAAAATTGTATGATTTCAAAGTGACTGCAGATTTTATTCCCAATCATGTGCATTATTTCCTCTTGATAAAGATATATTCTTCAAATAAAATTGTTAAAGGTACAACTACAGGTAGAAGAGTTATATCTCCTGTGAAAGATTATCAACATCCTCATGAATTAGAGATATCATGAACTTGTTTAAGTCTTCTCACTTATGATCATTTGTGTTTCTTTTTTTATGATGCAAAAACTTGAAATTTGAACAAAATTATATTGGACATGCCTTGTGAAGAAAAAAATGCCACTTGCCAAAATGTCAGTTGTACCTCAGTGTAATATGACCATGCTGCTATTATCTAACTCACTTATGACTTTTTCTTGCCTCATTTGATTTTTTTAAAGTTCATCTTGAAGCTAAAATGGTAAAGAGTACATTATACATGTAGGTATTCAACTTTGCATGATAGTTAAACTATGTGACAGCCTACAGATGCACTATGAAAGCTTGAAGTAGTATTACATTTAAAAGTGGATCTCATGTAAATGACTTGGGATTGTATTTGGGGGTTATATTCCAATGTGAGTTACTTTCAGACCCTTTTCTAAGTAATACCCTGACATTCTTATTTATTCAATATTTTAGATATATTTGAAAGTAACCTCTCATACCTACCTCCTTCTAAAATTATAGTAAAATAATCATAAAATAGCATACTGGTAAAAGATTGTTTAGTTTTTTTCCTTTGGATGTCAAGACAAGCATCGTAAACATAAGATAAAAATTCTTTGTCGAATTTGTTTTGATAATTTATTTATAGCAATGCTATGTGTGCTAATACAAACTAAAAGCAGACTGAATTGACAATGAGACACATTTATGGATGATATTTTCAAATGTTTGAAATTTACCTGTGCGGTTCTTGAGTTATTCTATTTTCTTTCACCGAACATTCCATTTGAATCGCTTGTATCTTGCTAGACAAGGGATCGGAGAGGCAATCTGGAAGAAAGAAAAACACAGTGGCAATCGCTTACTTAATCATGCATACATATCTTTTCTTTCAATGTGAAGCACGATGCTCATTTTGAATATCTATTGTCATGACTCATGAATATTCATCGTTATAATTCATGAATATTCATTGGATTGGTGCACTGTCCATGTGGGTAGGTCTGTAAATACTTAAGGCAGCCTGTATTTTGCTGGTACTTATTGGTTGTAAATATTCATGAGATGTACAAAGCAAAGACCTACTACTGTGTGTAAAGTTAATCTGTTTATTATGTGCATGTAATGATACGTATCTGCATGAATTCAAAGTATGTGCATGTATTTTGTACCTTTGCTTAGTAGTCTTAAAAAGTATCAACATTCATGTGGCACATTGTATTATTTTTCATACTTTTCTTCAAAACATTATTCTGTTGACGTATTTATAATTGTTATATTTGTGTGTAATAAGTATATGTACATGACCATTGCAAGGACAGTTGTATGCAATATTTTCTTTGATTTTATGAAGACATATTTTCAAAGTTTGAAAAGTTTTTGACTTGCAGTGAGAGAATTATAAACTTTGGAATCCAAAGGATTTATTTCATGTAGGAGAGCCACTGCCACAAATTCAATGGAGATTTCATTTGGAAACTTTCCTCTTGTTATGAAATATATCTAAAGAATGTTGGCATTTTTTTCATCTTTTTTTTTTCTGTTCGGTTTTTTTAATGGATGAATCGGGATACTACTATATTTTTCTTGTTTCAATGTACATGTGTATTTAATGTTCACAAGTCTGTGCAAAATTTCCTAAACCTGTATGATATGCAGTTAGCTCATGGAGAAGTATCCATGTTTCATGAAGGAACTAGGAATAAAAAGATTTTGATAACTACCTTTGTATGTATATGATGCTCATACTCTTTATGTTGTGCACATGTGTGTTATTATGTGTCACATATAACAGCTAAACTCTGATAAACTTGAGTATAGATGCATTTTTTTATTTCAAGTTTCTCTCTTTCCATTCTTTCTCCACTTCTCTGTCCCTTTTCATCTTCCTATTTTTCTTTCCTTTCGTTATATCATGAAGGGAGTGTTTGGTACACCATTCCCTGTTATATATGATCACATTCTTTGCTATGGATGGGCACATCACATAGCAAAGATATCATATTTATGCACAAGCTATTTTTTTAACATCTGTGTTGCACAGCTCTGTATTGAAACATACATTCCATTTTCTTTGCTTATTAAAGCCACGAATATCAACATTTTTAACAAAATTGTTATTACTACATGTTGGCTTTGTGACTTTACCCTGTATTAAACATTTCAATTTGTGCTGACGGAAGTATTGGAATATTCTATGTGTGTAATTAAAGACTTTATTATCACATTTGTGCAATATTTTTGGGTAGATGCTATCATTTGAAGTCTTTGTAAATTATTATGCTTCTAATGAGCATCATGCACTCAAGAAATACATTATTTTTCATTACTTTTGAATGATAAGTTAAATCATATAGTCAATTATGTGATATCATGAACAAAGATTAATGTAGTTGTGATAAATTGACAAGAAATTGAATACCTTTGTACTATCTACACTTGAATAATATTTATTATATCACCAGTCATCTACTCTATCTTGTAATATATTTCAGTATCATATTGTAAGCTTATTAAAAGTAATATATTTCTGTGTTTTTTTGTGTGTAAAGAACAAGATGAGATGAGAAGAGATGACCATGTAACTAATTCTTGGCTTATTTTTATACTATCAATTTGTTCTTGAAGAAAAAAATTGTCAACTTCAGTATATATATTTTGATAATTTTTCTTGTAGCCATTGCTTAAGGGATTAACTGATATGCAAGTCAAATCACTCAGTGTGATTAAAAACCATGAAACTAAAAAATGTATAGATCATTTCTGTCAAATTCTACTTTCTGTAATTAATTATTTCAAGCTACATGTACACCTTTTTTTTTAATTAAAGCTTTAAATATTAGCTAAGACTATAACCAGTATTGAAACACTGAACAACTCAGAAATGTGCTACACGTACTTTGCAACTACAAAGGATTCTGATTCAAGTAAAAAGTCTGTTTAGACTTTAAATGAAGTTTGCAAGAAAGCAAGTAGCATGAACTTTTTCAAATGTCGTTAGCTAAAAGGGCTTATGACGGACATTTTGTGTTTGGATGATAATGAAAACAAACAGGCTTACACAATTTATGAAGATAAAGATCTCATTTTCTGAGCATCAATATTTGTTTTACATCCCAAAGTTGCTTTCCCCCATCTCTTGGTAGCTTGCCTTGAGATTTGGAAGATGAGTGGAATTAAATCCAGTCCTGTCGCAGTTTCTAAAGGTTATTTCATGCTTGCCCCTCAACGTTCATTTCTCAGTATGTTCAAGTTCTACATCATGTTTGTGATCATTGCTCTTGCTTTTGAATGGTATACTTGTTTTTGTTTTGTTGCAACCAATGAAGATATATATGTAGTGGCATGGGATGATGCGATACGAATTGTGCGTCATGGCCAGTTCCTTTCGTAGAATTTCTGGTTTTACGCCAAGAACTATCTTCATAAAATCCTGAGGGCCTTGGTTCCTCATGGCGACAACAAACGAAGCTTGTCGATTTTCTATGGGCCTTTGTCAAGCTTATGTTCTTAAAACTATGGGTTTACTGTACATAATTGATGCCAGACGAAATGAAATGTTACGGTCTCTTTGTCTACTTTTATCATTCTTAAAGCTTGAATGCAGGAACAAATTTAGACTTCCCTTTTTGATGGCTATTATTCTAACTCAATTCAGGAATCAGAAAATGCACCCATGATCAAGTATTGTGTTAGTACAGCCAATTGGGGACAAATAAGAATTCCAGTTAGAATTCTTTGGTTGAAATATTACAATTTGGGTAAATATGAGTAAACTGCAGGTTTATTAAATTTTCAATTGTTTATGATAGCGGATTTTAATTGCAAAATAGGTATGAAATTTAATTTTAGCTAGGTATTTTAAATATGGACTTTAGCAGTGTACCGGAACGATCAAGATGAATCATTATATTAACCAGTAGAAGTGATACAGTACATGTAGCTATGGAAACTTTTCAAGGATGCAAGAGCATCTCAGAAAATATAGAAGCAATTTAATAGGCCTTTCCTGGCTTACATCCCACCTGCACATGTAAATGGTGCAGTGTGGGTGAATTACATTTATTTAGTCATTCAAATTTGGGTCATGATTTTGCTGCATAAGCATTGGAATCAGTGAAACATTTATGAAAGGAAAGAAACCCATTATGATCAAGTTCAGTCAGATCAAGGAAGTATTCGACTCTTTCAGATTCAACGATTCCTCTGTAAATCTCTGTGCTGCAGATGAGGAAATCACCACCCTTCCCCCCCCCCCCCTTTATTAGACACCAAAGACTACTATCTATAAACATCTCATCAAGTATATACGGTCATAGCTTTGGGACATATTTTGTGACCAAAATGGCCCTCGTCTGCTTAAATATCAATCAGCTGTACAGGTACAGGATGTAACAAACTTGTGTATATATTTATGTTTCGGTATCGTTGTTTAGTACAGTACTTGTGACTCTAAAAAACTTGTATGTAAACACATATTTTGATGTAATATACTTCTTAACCTATTGTATGTGTAATGGATAATACTTCATAAAAACATGTACAAGTCTATGATCAGCACAATTTTAAGAGAATATCTGTATTGATATTGTGTAATGGCTTCTTTTCAAAATGTGTGACTCTTTGTGGCAAACAATGTATCTGAATAACAAAATGAGAAAAAAAATAAACATATGCTACGTGCAGTAAAAACTGATTGCGTTCCTGTATGTGATGCTGTGTGGAATGAAGTGTTTGCGATGCCACAGTATTTAAAATCAGATAAATCAATCAATAAGGGGGGAAGATTTTCAGGAAAAGAGTAAATTGTAGAGAGAGATTAAGACAGTAAAAGAGGAAATAGAAATAGAATTAAAAAAGAATTGAATGATAGAACAAAAGAAAAGGAGAGATGAAAAATTGGATTATTCTGTCTTTCAGAGCGAAATGGAAACAAAATGTGAAAAAAATTTAAAAAAATAAAAGGAGAGATAGCTGGCAAGATCATTCTATTTTTATGAATGGGTTATAAAAAAGGAAGTGAGGGAGAGAGAGATAAATGATGGAGGAGAAGGAGAGAGAGAGAGAGACAGACAGAAAGAAAGAGCATAGACACAGAGTATGAGGGAGAATGATCGAGTGGAAGTTTTAGCCAAGAGTTAAAAGAGTTGAAAAGAGACATACAAAAGGGATTGAGATAGAGAGAAAGAGAGAGAGAGTGGGAGGGAGGGGTAAAAACAAACCATTTCTCCCACCTCGCCAAAATTATTGATACCCTCATTAATTCATCTTCTTTTTCATGTTTGTTCTCTCTCTCTCTCTCTCTCTCTCTCACACTCTCTCTCTCTCTTGCTCTCTCTCTCTCGCTCTCTCTCTCTCTCTCTCTATTCTCTCTCTCTATTCTCTCTATATATTCTCTCTCTCTCTCTCTCTCTCTCTATTCTCTCTCTCTCTCTCTCTCTCTATTCTCTCTTTATATTCTCTCTCTCTCTCTCTCTCTCTCTCTCTCTCTCTGTCCCCTCTGGTCCCTCTCTTTATCCACTCTGCTTCACTCTCACTCTTCTTTCATTTGCTCTCTTTTTTCCGCCATTTAATTCGGGGTGGGGTAGAGACACGTGCCACTCCCGTAGCCACACCACCGGATGCAAACAAGAGAGAAGTATTTTGTATTTCAAAGCTAATAATACCTGTCGGCTTACCCCCTGAATTTTAGAACAACATCGCTTTTAAAAAATATCGAAAAAGTATAATCCATAGCATTCAAAATTTAAATTATATATTCTCTGGTGTCCGGTCTGGTGTCCAGTCCGGTCGGTCAACTCGGAATTTCTCATTCCCTTTGATCTCAATTGCCAATCAATCCCATATTGTCCCCTTCCACAAGGTGCATTATTTTCAAAACTAATTCCATCATAAACAGTATATCCATAGATTATACACAAATAATCAAAGAGATAATTTCCATAGATTATGGCTAAAAGATAATAATCATCACGGCCGAAAACTTTGTGGCAGATAAAAGCAAAAATTTAATAACAAAATTAGAAATTCAAATACCGTTTTGATATAGGATTTCCGGCCAAATTCGCGAGTTTGCCATTAAAATTATTTTTCTTGTGGTCAAATTCGACGGTTTTAGTGCTGTGTCACTCCTATCAGGTATATCATGGGTTTATTCCTTTTTCTAGTTTTCAAATCCGTGAAGTTTTCGTTAGAACCTATGGTTGTTTCATTCAAATTAATGAACAATGTGCTTCTTTCGCTATTTGGTCATTTGATTTGGCACAACACGATTTTCTGTTATCGCGATGGTGTACAACTAGCATTCATTTTTAGCATTCAAATTAACACTTTGTACACTTATATTGATGGTCAATATACATTTCTCGTTTATCACACACTTTGTATAGCTCATTCTTATTCTTTCAAGATTTTTTTTAAATGTGTATTTCATCATATTTTATTTGCATTTAAGTTTGATTGTTAAGATTTTAAAAAACGACTTGCATCTACGGACCGAAAAAACAACATTTATTGTAACACAAGAAGATGCATTTTCATAAAATAGATGAGACAATTTTTTCAGTGATGGCCTTAAATGAAAAAAGTCAAGGACATGGAATAAAAACTTGTGAGATACACAATCGAAGGCCTTTTCAAAATCAATTATCAAGTTCAACGACATGCCTGGTATATCATTAAAGTACAAGTCCACTCCAAAAATAAATTACTTTCAATAGAAGCAGAAAAATCAGACAAACCAATCAAAAAAAGTTGAGCGAAATCGGATAAGTAATAAGGAAATTATGAATTTTTAAAAAAGGTATGTAAAACTATGGAACAATAAAAATCACTACACAAAATTGCCAATTTGGTTATCAGTTTTTGACGTCATGTCCTCACTATTTATCAATTGCTTTATATATTGTAATCCCATTAATTTCCCTTTTTACCCCCAAAAACTTGACCCCCCCTACCTTTGCCAGGTTATATGATTTGTATCATATTGCGTGCATGACATTTCACAAAATCTTTTATGAACTTTGAAGAATTGATACTATTTTCTGAATATTGTATATTCATACTTATTGATTTCTATATAAATAGTTTATCAAAATTCATATTTTTCATGATTTACCTGGACAAAATTATTATTTTTAAGTGCATCCACACAAAAGCATATTACTATCAATCTAACTTGGATGTTGGTGTGAAGAAATAAGATACTTAGGGGGAAAATAGGAAATTTATATTGTCAATATAAAGAAAATAATTTGTGGATAGTGAGGACTTAACGTCACAGACTGATGAGTGAGTTCCCAATTTGTCTTGTGTTTTTCATTGTTCCATAGTTTTAAAAACTCTTTTTCAAATTCTCCAGTAAAAGAAGCGAAGTTCAAAGATCTGATCATGAACGTTTAAGATAATGCCAAAAGAAACGAAAGATTCAACGGTGAAGCCATCTTGCCCAGGGGATTTATTAGTTTTCATACTTTTTAGGATCAAATAAACCTCAATTTCACTCAAATGACCTTCTAATAATTTTGACAATTCTGGAGATAACTTTGGAAAATATAGACAATCTAATAATATGGTTATATCTACCTTTTCAGTGGCTTTCGTCTTTTACAAGTTTGAATAAAATTTAAAGATTTCGATAAAGATAAAGATATTTTCCACAAATAACATTTCAATTTCCTGTTGACAATTGCCGTACTTTATCTTTATTAACTTAATTCTGTTTTTCCAAGTTAAACAAATATTTCGATGACCT